ACTCTGCAAATGTTCTGCATAGAGATCTCAAACCAGCTAATCTTTTCATTAATACTGAAGACTTGGTGCTGAAGATTGGTGACTTTGGTCTTGCACGAATCATGGATCCTCATTATTCCCACAAGGTATGCAGAGAGTGGGAATATCTAAGTGATGCGTTGACAGCTGTGCCTTCTTAAAATAGCATCTTTCTTCCTTTTGCACAGGTAGATAGGCTGTGGAAGGCTCCTTAGCATGGTTTGCCTCAGAAAGGACTACTGCAAGCATAAAATATATCTATATTTTTTTACTAAATGTAAAAAAATATATCTATATTTTTTTACTAAATGGGTTCAGAAAAGCAAAGGTTTTAACAGTGAAGAAAGAACCTAAGATGAAGAGCAACATTTAATTATATTTAATTATAGAAACCCTAGATGAGATTGTAAGTAGTGCATTTGTAGTGCAAGTGTGGCTACTCTGGGGGATTGGTTTAGAGATACTGTCCTCCTGGTCTAGATGTTTCACAAGAGAGTTCAGTATCATCTCTGCATTTTTTTGGCATCTGAGAATGAGGAAGTTTTGCTGCAGTACCTCATTTGACTAATAAGTAGTGTCATATTTGTATATGGTTGCTGTTCACTCACAAAGGCATTTGTAAAGGTAGAAAGAAGGTTTGGTAGAACACACACAATAAAATCCCTGAGACTGCGAGAGTAAAAAAAATCTTGTTAGTAGTGCATTAAAAATAAATTAAAACATGTAAGTCTTAAAAATCTAATAATTTTTTAATTAATTTCATTAGGGCCATCTTTCTGAAGGATTGGTTACTAAATGGTACAGATCGCCCCGGCTTTTGCTTTCTCCTAACAACTACACTAAAGCCATTGACATGTGGGCTGCAGGTTGCATCTTTGCTGAAATGCTGACTGGGAAAACCCTCTTTGCAGGTGGGTACAATAAAATCAGTGATATATTCATAAAAGGAGTGGTACTGCTTAATTATCTTCCTCAGGAAGGATTGGTTCTTGTGGCTAACATCAGTAGTCATTGACTGCTGATATCATATCATATAATATAATCATATAATGCAGCATATCAGGATGTGCTGTATTATTGTGCACTATATAAGCTATAAATTGATGTATCTGTAGAGCAGAAGACATACCAGTTTCATTACTTGTATTGGTGTGTATTTAGATAAATATCAGAATTTATTGTTAGAAGTCATGCATGGTAAATATGTCTGTAATTGTGTTAAGCTAAATTTATTGGTTGCCTAAGAAGTGTTCTGAGACATGTGTGAATTGATGCATCCAGGGAGTATTTGAAGATTATGAATGCCCTGAATATCATAGGCATGAAGTTTATTTTTTTAATGTAGTTAACCTCATCACCTCTCATTTCTATATATTTTAAATTATGAAGCCCCGGGGGCGTAGATTTAGAGGTGTAAAATTTGGTGCAATACAGCAAGGAAATGTGCAACCTTCAACTGTTTCAGGTAAGACAGGAAGCAATGCTCTGGTCTCATTGGGTACATCAATATTAGAGCTTTGGTTAGGATCAGGAGCAAATTTTTGGAGCCCATCTCTTGATGGCCACCCTGTACCATATTGCTGACCTAGCTCAGAGCACAAACTGGAGCATTTTAGGTAAAGTGAAACTGTTATTTGCACTATAGGGGATCACCACCTGCTGACAAGCACTCAGTCCATGGGAGCAGATGAGCAAACTGCAGAAATACCTCTAAAATGCTTGTTTTTGTGCACCCTGGGGCCTCAGCAGCAACTGTCTCGTTCAGGCTCACTCTTGCATTTTGCTCCTGTTGGCTGAATTACAGGAGTAATGCAGATAAAACCTAGAGAGCTAGGCTTGCATTTCAAAGTTCACATTCCTTTAGACACAAGGACTGTGGACTGAATGCACACCTCTGCAGTCATTCTTAGCTTTGCATGAAAAGGCAATGGAATTGAGAGCTTCTTGCCATTAAGTAGTTACTGGAGAACTGTCAATTGAAAGCATTATTTGTTATAAAACAGTGATTAATACATGCAGAGGCTTCTCTTAACATGCAGTGAGTTTTTCACTCTTTGAGTTACTAACTACTGGAGTAATGTCCCCAGAGTATTACATGCTTGGCTGATACAAGATTTATTAGTTTCCTATTGGGAAAAAGTCTGCAGATCTCATCATTCAGCATAGATGGATCACAACTGCCAGCATTTTGGGGTTTTTTTCCTTTGAGTGTCATTGGTATTTGTCACAATTTTTTATCAGCCCAATTGCTGTGCAGAGTGTTAGAATTCTGTTAAAAGACTTGGTCTTAGTCACCAAAATCCTAAATTTGTAAGCTTTTTTATATCCCTTAATTACATTGAGTAGATACTTAGAAAAATATTTTAGATATAGGTGTGCCCCTCTGAAAATTTAGCACTGCCATGGTTTTCTAATCTAAAGAAAAATGCATTTCTTGACGTCATGCATTTGAAGAGGGAAGATGGTTGCAGATATGATAGTTATTCTGCCCCGAGACTCTGAATAAAGTTCTTCTGCAGAGTTGTTTGGAGGTTTGATTTGGTTAATTGCAACTTCCTGTCTGTTTCTGAACCATCCCTTAGGAATCCTGCTGTTCAGAAAGCTGATGAGGATGGGAAGGAAGAATACAGATTAATATTGCTGAATACCTGGAACAAGTGAAGGAAAGGAAGTTGAGGCTGTGGAATTCAGTAGCTTTGCCAAACTTTTCTCCTTCTTTGTTCTAAATCAATATTTTGCAATGGTTATTTTGCTGATAGTGGACAGGAAGATGATTAATTTTTAGGATGGTACTCATTACACAGTAGAATCTATTTTCCAGCAAATTACAAGCAATATAGCATCTGATAGATCATATTAAGTAATTTGTTGTAGTCTGAGGTAGAACAAAACAGCTCTTTCAGTCCAGTAAAGCAGATAACACAAGGCAGTACTGATTCATTTGGGGAACTCTGTCAGATTTTCTGCAGTGACTTTGTCTCAGCTTTTCAAGTCACCTGGCAGGTGTGTGACTGCTGTGCTGTGCAGGCACTGAAGTGAGCTGAGAACTTTGGAGATGGTAGAGTCTCTTGCTGCCCCTATTTATTTTTATATTTATTGTCACATACATCAGTATTGCTTGTGATTGCCCAGAGCTGCTTGGTGAAGGAAGGAAACGTTGGCATGCAAATAATCCTATATAATTTCATCTGCTAGTTGAATCTCTAGGATCCTACATCCTCCTTGGAGCTGAACAAGCTGAAGTTGGCAGGTTGTATTTCTGGGTACTCCAGTACTGAATATAGATGCTGTTCATTATTTAAAATTGACCTGCTGTATAGGCCCTTATTGTTCTTACTCAGAGAAACTTCAGGTAGTGCTAAAAGAGTACTGTAATTTCAATCATAATAGAGTACTTTTTTCAAAAAGAGCATCACTGTGTAACCAACACATGATTTTTGTCTTGCATTTGACAGTTACTGCAGGATTTCAGAGTAGAATATTAATGCAAATGGCTATGGCCTGCAAAATGTCTTTTTGAGCTAAACTACTACTGTTTTTATTAATAAGGGAGATACAATTCAAAGTGAGGTCAAATACTGTATTAATTAGGTGGATCAGTTGAAAGGGGAGGATAGCAGTATGTAGTGTGTAATAAAAAGGGTATTGCTGTAGAATACCTCATCCTTGGTGAAAACACCCTTACAAAAGCTTAAGGTTAGCTCTCTTTATCTGTGAGTAGCAGCTCTGTAATTCTTCATATGCCACAGCATTTCTTGAGAGCTCTTCAGATTTATTATCATTTAAATTCAGAACTTCAGCCTTTCCTCGGTTGCAGGAGATTATAATCTTTTACTAGAAATAGCTGCTCAGAGCACAGAATTTTGACATGCCTTTCATACACAGGGATCAGAAGTGTTTAAAGTTGAAATGGCAGCTTGTGTTTCTTTTGGTGCTCAGGTGCACATGAACTTGAACAGATGCAGTTGATTCTAGAATCAATTCCTGTCGTACATGAGGAGGACCGTCAGGAGCTTCTCAATGTAATTCCAGTTTACATTAGAAACGATATGACTGAGCCACACAAACCTTTAACTCAGTTGCTTCCAGGCATCAGTCCTGAAGGTAAGTAATTAAAAAAATCCTTGATTCAATGTTTTGATGTTTCAAAATCATCAAAAAGTGTGCAGCTTTGAGGTGCAGGCGTATGATTGGTAAAAGCAAGTTTCAGTTACAAGAATCTGTGTTCTCTGAAGAAGGATTATCTTCTGCCCTAATAAAAGAAATTTACTTCCATGATGGCTACTTGTTTATCTTTAGAGTAGAATTGTGAATCTCTGCTGGATCTATTTGCACTGGAGTGGCTCTGTTTTGAGACACTGGCTTTTTAAATACAAGGGAACATTGGAATGGAGTCAGTGTAGAAGGACTGTCTTTCACATGTTCTCAGAAGAGTCTCCCAGCCAAAGTAACAGCAGTGTTTCTGGTAGCCATTGGTGGATACTGATTCAGCTTGAAGCTTTCTGTCTGTTGCTATTTTTTTTATGCTTTAAGTTAAATTATGATTGATCTTAGATTTGACTTCTCTCTCTTTCTGATGGCTCCAGGATGCATATTTGGCAGTGTACTGTCAGTAGCTGATACTTCACAGGCAGCTACTTTCAAACAACTAGAGAGCTCTAGAGCAAAGCACTGCATCTTAATGTTAGGTTCTAAATGTCAGAAATTTCCCATTTAATGGTAGCTTATGTTCTACAGCACTGGACTTTCTGGAGCAAATTTTGACATTTAGTCCCATGGATCGATTGACAGCAGAAGAAGCTTTGTCCCATCCTTATATGAGCATTTATTCCTTTCCAACGGATGAGCCTATTTCAAGTCATCCTTTTCACATTGAAGATGAGGTTGATGATATTCTGCTAATGGATGAAAGTCACAGCCATATTTATAATTGGGAAAGGTAAATTTATCACTTACTGTGGTAAGATCACTGGATGGTTTTGTGCTTGAAGTGACATTGCTTCATGGGCATTATTTCCTTTTCTGTGTTTTTCCTCTTGAGTAGACCTGAGAATAAAATTTTCATATTTTCTTATAGCATTATCATTGGATTTATAATCCCTTAGATGTGACTTGGATATGCTGATGTTCCTGAGTTACATTCAGGACTCTAGAATCTAAAGTTAATATTTCCATTATTTTTTTTCTTCCCCAAAATACTTCTCTAAAAATAAACTTTGTTTAAGGAGAGTTTTAATTATGAATGTCTTGTCTAATGCTTAATGCACATTGTAGTAAAGAGATTTCACAGTAGTCATCTTAAGTCAATTAAACACACTTTAGAAAAAGTTCTGTAAATGGAGTGAGCTGTTGTACATAATTCTGTTTCCTTATGCTAGATTAAATTAAAACCCTGGAAGAGGTACCCAGTTGGATTAAGGAAGACCTTTGTGTTGAATTGTCATTATTTTGTAAGGGAATTTCTAAACGTGACTGTCTCTGTTTTGGGAGCCAGAGGACTCCTGTTTTTAGCTGCTAACACTTAGGAAATTGTTTTACAGATACCATGAAAGTCAGTTTTCAGACCATGACTGGCCTATTCATAATAACTATGAAGCTGATGAAGTTCAGCGTGATCCAAGGGCTCTTTCTGACGTTACTGATGAAGAAGAAGTGCAAGTAGATCCTCGCAAATATTTGGATGGAGATCGTGAAAAGTACCTGGAGGATCCTGCCTTTGACACCCACTTCTCTACTGAGCCCTGCTGGCAGTACTCAGATCACCACGAGAACAAGTATTGTGATCTGGAATGTAGTCACACTTGTAATTACAAAATGAGGTCCTCTTCATACCTAGATAATTTAGTTTGGCGAGACAGTGAAGTTAACCATTACTATGAGCCCAAGCTTATTATAGATCTTTCAAACTGGAAGGAACAAAGCAAAGAGAAGTCTGACAAGAAAGGCAAGTCTAAATGTGAAAAGAATGGGTTGGTGAAAGCTCAGATAGCACTTGAGGAAGCATCACAGCAACTTGTTGAAAAAGAAAGGGAGAAGAATCAGGGGTTTGACTTTGATTCTTTTATAGCAGAAACCATCCAGCTTAGTTTACAACATGAGTCTACTGATGTTGATAAATTAAATGACTTGAATAGTTCAGTGTCTCAGATAGAGTTGAAAGGAATAATATCGAAGTCGGTGAGCAGAGAGAAGCAGGAGAAAGGAATGGCCAATTTGGCACAGTTAGAAGCTCTGTACCAAACTTCTTGGGACAGTCAGTTTGTCAGTGGTGGGGAGGGGTGCTTCCTCATAGACCAGTTCTGTTGCGAGGTAAGGAAAGATGAACAAGTTGAAAAAGAAAATACTTACACCAGTTATTTGGACAAATTTTTTAGTAAGAAAGAAGATGCTGAAATGCTAGAACCTGAGCCAGTAGAAGAGGGGAAGCTTGGGGAGAAGGAAAGAGAGGAGAGCTTTCTCAGTAACAGTGGGGAGCTCCTCTTCAACAAGCAGCTTGAGGCTATAGGTATTCCTCAGTTTCACAGCCCTGTTGGCTCGCCTCTGAAGTCCATCCAGGCCACACTAACGCCTTCTGCTATGAAATCATCTCCCCAGATTCCCCACAAAACCTACAGCAGCATTCTGAAACATCTAAACTAAAACACTCAGCAGACATTTCTTTTATATTCATGAGATGTGTTTGTCTTTTTTTATTACTAGTGTAAGTAATTTTTTTACTTGAATCAGATGGTGTAATTTTGGTATGGATTTCATTAGTTTTCTGTTTACCATTGTTTTTACAATCCAGAATTACTTTCTATACATAAGTTAGTTTTGTTTTTAAACTGGCATGTCGTTTGCACACAAAATTAAAGACTAGAGCAAAATAATGCAAAATGCAGGAGGTAACAAAAAATGCACTAAACCAAGTAAAAAAAAAAACACATTCTCTCAGTAAAACAGTGTCCATGTTTTGCAGAAAAAGAACCTTGCCTTGAAATTTACACAGTGAGACTGTACATAATTGCATGAGAATATCTATTTTTCCCGAAACATTTTTTTCATTCATGCGTATTTTAGAGTTTTTCATACTCTACACATTTCTTAGACACATGATACCAGCAGCAACTGAAATGAATGCAGAATTTGGTACGCATGTGTTATCTACCTCAAGGTAACAGCAGTATGTGGCAAAACATTAACCACCCATAGTGCTTCTCATTATGCACTTCTATTTAGCCAGCATTATTGTAGTAGCTATTCCTATTGAAAATCATTCAATATTTATAAATGTTCTGGTATGCATTCTTTATAGTGAAGTGTTAATATGCAGCACTTTTATTTATTTTAGCAAATAAGTATATTTCTGTAATTATAGAAAGTCAATTTTTGAGTTACTTTTCAGATAAAAGTTTTTGTTTAGCACTATGGTTTTATTGCCTACATATCTGGGTATATATTAACATCGGCTTATTCTGAGGCTATCCAATACATTTTTATTTTTATTTTTTAGTTTTCATTTCAAGTAAAGCACTCACTGTGTATAGGAATTTGTAATTGGAGGTGCTTGATCTCTACAAAAGAAATTAGGAATTGCTTTATTATCAAATGCTCCTAGAAGTCTTAATTGTGTTCATTTTTTAAAAATTTTGTAATGTTAGTTGTGTGCATGGAAATAATTAAGGTACAACATTACTGTAGGTTAAAGTTCTATATGGTGAGACATTTTGTTTTTACTGTATGTTTTTACGAATGATTCCTGTCCCACTCCCAGCCCCCCTCAAAAGCAAGCATGAATAAAATTAGGTTAAATATAGCATGTAGCATCTCGGTCTTTTAAAAATTTGTTTTATCTTCTGATTTTTTGAAATACTGGATGTATCATTGGCTCCCCTGTTTAAAACTAAAAACAAATAAAAACATGGCCAGCAAAAGTGGCTGTTTGTGATGCTTTGTACACACCCTGCCAGATGAAGAGCAGCTGCTGTGCTGCAGCTGGGGCAGTTGTGAGGGTCACTGCCTAACACAGGGTGCTCATGGAAGCATGAGAAACTCCCTGGAAGGGATGCAGCATCCTGCAAGGAGACTCCCAAGAGTTTCCTTCTGTCCTGTCCTGCAGCCTGGACAGAGGAAATCCCAGGTAATGGTGTGGCTCTGGAAGCACAAATATACAGTGGTGTCCATAACCATTTCTGATCAAAAAACCAATTGGCTTTGGGAGTGTGAGTGAACCAAGTTACTGTTTTATCACTACTGTTTTAGCCAGATGAGTGTTAAAGGAAAAGCTGCAGTGTGTGTGTGAGCCCCTTCACGTTGCTGGCAGCCTGGAGTGAAGGTGAGCCTGCAGGTTCCTCAGCCAAGAGCCTGGCTGGAGCACTTCCACAAGGAGATTTTGGGAGCATGACAAGGTAACTCCTGTGGGATGATACAGACTGTGCAGGTCAGGTCTCTGTTGCAGCAAGCCCTCGAACAGTCTGTGTTTCTCTTCCCGTTCCTCCCATCACAGCTCTTCCAGAGGGAGCTAATTAACTGTACAATAAAGCTGCATCTTCTGGCAAACTCCTACAGCTTTTCCTATGACAGTGTTTTAGTTCCTCCAGATTCTTCCATCCCTGCTCCTCTGGCAGGTAGCACGGTCTAAAACAAGGATCTGTGCCCCGTCAGTGTGGCACAGGATGGGCACCTGGGAGGGGACAGGGAGTGTGTCCTTGGGCACGGTCCCTGGGCATTGCTGCAGCCACAGCAGGGGATGTGGGCTGTGGGGAGGGGATGAGCAGCTGCCCCCTGGGCAAGGGACTGTTCTCAAGGGCAGCAGGGCTTCTGTTGAGATTGGAGAGCAGTGGGTGGAAAGCATGGAAGAAACACATCTTGTACAAACGTATCTTTTTTGTCGTTTTTGTTTTTTTTTTTAACACATGTGAAACTCAGCAGTACTTACCAAGCCTGTAAGGGTACAAAGGAAATGTTCTACACTAGAAGAAAGGGGAGAGTCGAGTGTTGAGCCTAACCCAGCATGGTGCTTCATTAGCTTTGTCTTCTACCTGTGCTGAGGAGGCAGCCCTGTGCAGGCTGTGCTGCCTGCCTGGGTGCAAACCCTGCTCTCACAGCAGGCTCTGTCCATGGGCCACTGCAGGGTGCAGCTGCGCAGTCGGGTTTATTAAGTAGAAGGAATTCCCTTTGTGGAGACAAAAGTGTTTTGTAGGACCATGCAAAGTGAAATCACTGCTAGAAAGTGAAGGTGCTGTGGGTGTGGTGTTGGGTTCTCCCTTGGCAAGCTGCAAGAGTGTGGGAAGAACAGCCTGGAGAAAGTGCAGGGTGTCACAGGTTGTTCCCATGGGATGGAGGATGGTTCCTGCCCTGTACTCATCAGCCATGCCTATCCCTTCAGGAAAAAATAGATGTGTCAGCTACATGTGTAGCCCTTTGGCTGTGACCTAGCAACAGCATTGTCTTTAAAAACAAAAACATGGAAGAGGCTTAAATTATGAACCAGATAAAGGGACTGATGTTTCACGGCAAGGTGCTTGCCAAGTACAATGGAACACCCTTATTTAACAAAAAAGCAAATAAGAAATGAGAAAATTAACCATCTTTTGAAAGTGCCCTTTCTTCTCCAAGTGGCCTTTTGTTAAAAGGCAGCATTTTAAAGTATATTTAACAAGAGCTTCAGCTAGAAGAGGTGATGTTTACAACAGACCAGGACAGAGCCTTTTGCACATCCTGCCATCACATGAGGTCTAATAATTGCTGCACAGTTTGTTCTGATCAAGAGTTCTCAGCCGTGGTCAGTCACCTTTCTCAGAGTTGTATTTAATTTTAATTAAATCAAAGTTGCTATGTATAATCTTAGCTATTTTATGAGTCTTTGCCCATGCTGCTGGTAGTGGTGTGGTGGCACTGTGAGTCTGGCACAGCTCAGCTGGTCTCTGCTGAGCAGAGCTGGGGCTCCAGGCTGGGCGTGGGGCTCTGTGAGCAGCTGGGCACTGGGGCAGGCCCTGCTGCTGCTGCTGCCCCTCCCTGCCCTGCTCGGCAGGGCTCCTGTACCTGCAGCAAAGGGCTCACTGCCTGCAGCAAAAGCTGTGCCTTGATGTACTTTGTTTTCCTGTCACCTTGCTGTTGCCTTTTCTGTGCTGCAGAAGCTCTTAGGCTGCATCCTTTTAAAGCCTTGCCAAGTTCCCTCTTTGGTCCAGCTGATTGCCTGGAGGCACTGGTTTATGAACAGGTTTTTAATGCCTTTTTTACAGGAGTCCACCTGAGAGGTTTTTTTCCATATGGAACTAATGTTGTTGATTTTTTCTGTCCCCTTCTAACCTCTGTGATAGGCAGGGATGTAGGAGTTTTTCCACATGTGGACTTTCATCTCCTACTCTACACATGTGCACTGCAAACCCCAGAGAGCTGTAGGCAGGGCCCCAAGGAATTCAGTGGCACATTGTGGTGCAATTATTGCTGAATATCAAGAGGAAAACCATCCTTGAGCTAAATCTGCTCCCACAAGTCTTCTTTATTTATACTCATGTTGCTTTCCTGCTGCTGAGATCTGGAAGTGCTTATCAAGGGTTATCAACCCTTCAAGGGTTTTACATGTAATTAAACAGTAACCTGTCTTCGTTCTTCTGAAGATGCAGCCCTGAGCAACAGCAGCCCTGAACCAATTTGTTCCTTACTCCTAGAATTACTTCAGTTCTTACAAAATCCTGTAAATTCTTGTTTGCTGTTCTGCCACTGCTTGCGTCATTCTTGAGCTGCACGGCCTGGGCAGTGGTGCCAGGGGGTATTTAGTAACAAGCAAATAATCCAGATCACTGCTGGCACCCAGCACTCTTCCATTCCACTGGCTATATTTAAAATGGTTATCTGCTTACTCTGAGTGCTATTGGAGAGCCCTTAAAATACTGACTGCTGAAAAGTTCAGTGGCTGCTTTTGGCTGGGGAGTAGCATGGCTGGTGTGGTGATCTGTGTGCAGCAGGCCATGTGCAGAGGGAGCTGTGCCCAGCAGCCCCTGGGGATGGCCAGGTATGGCCACGCTCTGCAAATAGCTGGCAGCAGCCACGCGTGTCATCTGCTTGCCTCAGGAATCTGTCTGCTGCATCCTGACTGCTGAGCAGCCCTTCTATAGAGAACTCTGATAATAAAATACCTTTTGTAATCTCCGTCCTGGGCTGCTGCAGCCAAAATTACTTTTAACCTCAATGTCACCCAGCCTGGATTGCTACGCGTGGTATGAAATAGCAAAGTGTGTGTTTGGCAGCTGGGGGTGGCACAGGGAACTTGTGACTGTCCAGCATCAGAGCCAGCAGCTCCATTGCCCTTCATGTCCCAGCTTTGGCTCCCTTGTTCCCTGCACAAAGGTGCTGGGAGACAATTCCTGCAGCTCACACACTGAGTAAGAGCATGGCTGTGGGGAAGGGCTTTTCCATCTGTCCCTGGGGACTTGGGTTAATCTATGCTTACATCCAATCTGTGTTTCTAGAGCACAGAGTCATTACTGAATTGCTGGCTGATGGTTTGATGGGTTTTCAATGTTTTAACATTGGTAGAAGGCTGATTTATTTTGTCCTATTCATTACTGAATTGCTGGCTGATGGTTTGATGGGTTTTCAATGTTTTAACATTGAAAATCAGGCTGATTTATTTTGTCCTAATTTGGTAACGTTCTGCATTACTTGTATCTTAGCTTACACTTTTCATTTCTCCAGATTTCCTGTAACTTTTGATTTAGGCTTATTATATTCTTCTAGTAATCATTCATGATTGCATATAGTCCAAGGAAAGTGGGTGATCCCCTGCCTGCCTGGTTAAAGGTCACTGGCCACTCTCAGAACAGATGGGAGGCCTAATAAAATACAGGCTTTCATTTATATCTGAATTTGACCATGTTCCTCAAGCCATGTCCCGGGGCTCTGGTGCTGTGTAGAGTGGAAGCTTCATTGCCACACTAATCTCACTGTGGCTGGTGCAAGGTAAGTATAAACCTCATCATTTTTCTGTGTCATCATCTCCACAGCATCTTCCCAACAAGCAAGTGTAGCCAGCGTAGAATTTCTGCTGTACAAGACTGTTGATCTTTTAGTTTGCAGCTCAGGCCTCAGCAATGGGTGCTCCAAAGCCAGGCTCAGGCAGTGAAAGGACATTTTCTCATTCTTGTCCTTGGTGGTGCCATTCAGACTGGATTAGAGTTTAAATCTTCAGGACTAGAGGCTGTAGAGAAACAGTCTCCTTTTGATGTCTGTCTTGAATTTTATCATTTAGAAGGATTTAAAGGATAGACCTCAATAGCTGAATGACAGATTTACTGTGACTTCTGTGTTTGTTTGGATATAGATTCAGACAGCATAGCTCTTGAAATAGCTGGGTAACTAGCAGAAGCATTCTTAAAGCCTATGATTAAGAAAGCAGATGGGTTTGGGTTTTGTTTTGTATCATATTTGTCTCAGATATTTTCTGCTATTGTTAGAGTCTTAACAGATTTGATGTTGACACATATTGAAAGATTAAATTACTTCTAGATACTAAATTGTCTTTTGGACCCTTACACATGATATTTCACTGGTTTTCCATGATTCTTTATTCTCTTTTTACTTGCTTTTATACAGAGAGACCCTCAGGTGTTTGAGTCTCTCAGTTTTGCATCATGCCTAGCCCTGTGCAGCAGCAAGATGCCAGTCTGTTGGAGTGCAGAGTGGACAGGAATGTCCTTTGGGGTTGCTGGCAATGGAATCTGTATTTCTATTGGCCTTGGAACTGCATCACCCAGAGGACAGCACCCACTGCCAGCAGGGCAAGGTGAAAAACCTGTGACTGGCTTAGGGACCTGCACAGGGCAGGGAGACTCATCACCCAGAGCAAACCCAGGAGAAAAGCAAACCCTGGAAGCCCAAGTGGAGCTCTGGCTCACGGTTTGCAGCTGCAGCATGGCAGAGGCTGGCTGCCCACACCTCTGGGGCCCAGTTAATCAGTACCTTGCAGCATTGCTCCTGCCCTGATAAAATCATCATGAAATCATAATGATGTCAGCAGTGGAGCAGGTGTTTTGGTTCTTCAGCCAACACAGAGCAAAATAAGAGAGCACAGAGCAAAATAAGAGAGCTTGAGCAATTCCCTGGCCAGTGGGCCCAAAAGGACGTGCCACAAGCAGCTGGGTGGCCCTGGTGGGTCAGCAGTGGTACCAGCACCAGCAGTGGAGAGGAGCCAGGCATGACCAGAGCAGAGTCCAGCTCATCCTCCAAAATGCCTGTGCAGCCCAGGGAGGAGGTTTCCACCCTGCCTGCCAGGAATTGCAGTCTTTGTTGGCATGAGCAGGAGGAAAAATATGATGGGAAACAGGAAGATTAAAATGATCCCAGTGAAAACAGGATGTTGGAAAGCTGGTAGCAGAGTGGAGCTGCAGGGCTGGCGGGCTGCAGAAGGCTGCTGGGGGCAGGGAGGCTCTCACACAGGCTGTTTGGGGCAAAACACCCCATTCTCACATGGGTAGGCACACACCAAAGCCTTGAGGCAGAGGCAGCACAGCTCTGCTGGCAGCAGAGTGAAATCTTGTGTTGTCCAAAACATGGCTGATTATGGCTATTTACACCAATGTGTTCACTCACCTTCTCTCAACACCTGCCTGAATTGTTTTTTGCTGGATGAAGGTCATGAGCCGTTCCCCACACCACATCAGCCTGGCACCACATTTACAGAACAGCCTGGGCCTGCCAGGCAGCGGGATGGAGCTGTTCCAGAGCCTGGCTGCCAGCAGGGAGCTGGATATCTCCCAGCTGAGCACAGCCTGCTCTCCGAGCTGCCATCCCTGGCGTCCTTCCAGCCACGGCAAAATAAAAACCAAACAGCGTTTGTCTCTCACTAAAGTGCCTCTTCCTCCCAGGGGCTGACAGCAGCAGTCAGTGCTGTGGATTTACGGCAGGGGAGCCTGAGGGAGCTGCTTCCCATCCCCAGAGCCAGTCTGTGAGCTGCCAGAGGCTGCTGCTGGGGCTGGAGAGGGGCTGCTGGGCTTCTCGAGTGCCTTGCACACCAGCCCTGAGGTGTTTCTGCTCCTCTGGGAGCGTGGTGGGCTCCTGAGAGGGCTCTGCACTGCAGGGCCCAGGCTCCAGCACGTGTGGACCATGCTCAGCAGCAAGCAGGAACTCAGTGCCCCATCATTTATGAGGTCATTGAGCCATTAGCAAATGCATACTAAAATCTCTGAGGCTAAATCACACTGGGTTGTTCCTTAGGTGAAATGAAAATTGCTATTTTCCATGAGTCCAAACTGCCATCCACTTATTTACTTTCCATGGCTAAATTGAATCTACTATGTACATTGCAATTGCCAGTGTTTGTCAGGGCAGTGCAGATGGATGCAGAGCAGCCCTTGGATGAGGACCTTGTCCCCACTTTTAATCAGCCAGTTAACACAGAGCAGCTCTTCCCTGACATCAGGTCTTTCCCCAGTTATGCATCCTAGCTGGCAAGGCACGGCTTGGGAGTGAAGGGGTTTGGGTGCTCTGCCCAGCACCCCCAGCTCCTGCAGCAGGGGAATTGGGCTTTCCCTGGGGTATCTGCAGCTTGCTTTCCTCAGGAGTGTTCCAGATTATTTGGGTCCTGAGGATGGCAGTGTTTCCTATCACCTCAGTTTATCTTCTTCCATGCTCAAAAAATGAGAGATTTGTTCTCCAGGCCCATGAAATAGTCACTACATCACTTGGCTTTTATGGCAAGTGATAAAAAAGGAGGAGATG